GCTAATGTAAAGTCGGCTTCCACTCTGATGATGATGATGATGATGATGATGATGAGCGCACAGCAGAGCAGCAGCTGATAAGTTCAGCAGGCAGATATTAAAGCAAAAACGTTGGGTTTAATTAAGATTCCAGTTTTCTGAAAAAAAGCTCTAAAACTTACATTATCTTAACTTTTTATGATCATTTTCTACAGCGATATATACCGTTACCGTGAAGGGGTTCAATTTATACCGTGATATRAATTTGAGGTCGTACCGCCCAGCCGTACAGGTGGGTATAATGCATCATGTTAGTCCGTCACAAACACAATGCTATTCTAAATGGAGTGCTGATTCTGACACACCCATCCCTTAAATATAAACAAATTTTTAAACTGATCCCATGCCTATTCATTCATTCATTCATTCATTCATTCATTCATTCATTCATTCATTCATTCAACAACACCGCAAAGCGGAAACTACAATCAAATATTTGAACGAGGATCAGAAACTGACTATCAGATTCTCCAGGTATTTTTGCTTGGAATGCCCACGTCTAATTCCACTACTCCTTGTTATTTCAATTTCAGGGCCAAGAAGATGCTCATAATTTAGAGATAAAGGAACCACTAGGATTTGGCTTTAAAATATTTTACAAAGCAAACCTTTTTTGTGCTACAGTGGATTAAAAGAAAAATATTCAGACCTGTAATCATGGTCACGAGTAGTATATTTTACACACAAATTATATTTAGTACAACTCGTTATAAACAATGGTCCTAGTATTGTATGTGCTCTGCCTCTGATTTGAATAGAATAAATTGAAAGAGCATGTGCCAAAATTGAAGGATGGATGCATAGATGGATAGCTGGATGGACAGACAGATTTTTTTGTAACCTCAGTGAAGCTTTGCAGGTTTTGAGTCGGTCCTGTTCAGACTGTCAAGTGTTTTATTGCCAATGTAAAAATAGAGAACATGCTTTACCACACCCCTTGAACAATAACAACAGAAAACAAAGAACTAGGGTTGGGCGATATTGGCAAAAAGATTAATCACGATTAATTGTGGTATTTAGCCGATAACGATTAATTTGATGATTAATGCCCTGGAGTCCCTGGACACTTGTCCTAGTCACATGACCAATTTAGTGGGAAAGATTTGCTCTTTGTAAAAATCTTTTCCAAATTGTGTAAAAATTACAGACTTCAGACTATACATCAAATTTTAAATTGTGTTGATAGATAAATAAATTACAGAAGTTTTTTTAAATGTTCATCATATTTGAAGCGGAGAGGASCACCAAGTCAGTCCGCCTGGTGGCATTAATCATATTAATCGTCAAGCGCCAAAAAAAATAATCGATTAATGTTTTTCTGATGATTAATTGCACACGATACGATTATGCCCAACCCTACGAAGAACACAGTAAAATTTGTTCAGTTTAACTGTATAGAGCAGATCAATATACAGAAGGACCAAACATTTGGACAATGCAACAAAACGGTAACTGTGACCTTTAAACAAATGGCGCAAATATGAATTTTATAGGTCAGGGTTGAATTCAAAGTTCTGCTCATCAAGATGACAGAAGATTGCTGTTACACAGATACACAGTCTGCTTTCCTGAATGAAAACCTACAAAACACTGCAGAGAAAAAGATTCCKTCTGAACTCCTTTAGGCTCTTCCATCACTCGCAAAAGCAGCGATGCCCATTTTCTGTCTCTCTCTCCAGTAGCACATCAGCTATTATCACCAGCGGGCAGATATGCAATCTCACTGTGCAAACAATTAAGGGCAGCTCCTCTGCACTCAGTGCTACTCACTCGTGTTGATGTGTTGAGGATTAACACAGTGTGCTTACACATTAACCTGGGAGTCACACAGATGAATGGCATTCCTCAGGACTGTGTTTGCAAAACGAAGGAGTAATAAAACACAATGTAGAGCTACCTGCTGCCAGAGTTCACGTCCTTTTAGCTACATTTAAACTTGGCTTCTGGGCTGCCGCTTTCAACTTGAAATGGACGCATAAAAAACAAACAAGAAATGTTCATTTTTCAAAACCAGTTGAAGGAAGCACATACTCTGTAAGTACRTTTCCACTGAGCTGGTTAAAAAAAGCACCAAGAGATGATGCATTGATGTGTCCTGAACAAGTTGTTCATTTGAAATGGACCAAAAGTAAACAAGGGGTGATCAGGTGATGTGGCACATCTTGACAAAACACAACCTGTATTTGACTTTCATACAGGCTCCACGATGCATACCACTGACGAACATTACGTAACGCTCAGGAATTCAGTTGGACAAACAAAAACACAATGTGCAGTTGTGAACCTGTCAAAGACGACTGACTGGAGTGGATTCTAGTCACGGGTCCCTGAAAGAGAACTCAAATATGAGCCAGATGTCCTGAGTGATATGAAACCAACCAGTTTCCTTCGCAGCCTTTGGGCAGGGCCTCTCTACAACCTCTACCTTGAGACAATGTTTCTACTGTGCAAGAAAAACACAAAAACCTGTGACAGTGATAGGTCACAGCATGCGAGCAGATAGAGTTCTTCTGAGCACTAAATAATCCCCACACAGCTGGCGTAAAAGCTGCAATAAATCTGAGTACGTGACTATAAACAATTCAAGGGAAAAAGATACAGTTGTAGCAAAGCRGTGTTGTGTAACTAATGAGTAGTCATGTTGAGTATAGCAGCAGAAATCACTGCCTTTTTAAAGCTGTGTAAGCTAGGAGTGCACAAAATAAATAAACCCAGAGAGATTACCACTGCAACAACAATCCAGAATGTACACCAGTATTCTAGTTCTGTTTTTTTTTCCTCTAGATTTAACCAGTTTATCACTGAGCTGTGACTGCTGGAGACAAGATGTCCACACAAAACTGCAAGAAAACAAACATTTTTGGTTGCAGTTGAGACATTTTGGAACATTAATCCACCTGATTGGTTCATATTGTAACTAAATGTTTCCTCAACTCACATCAGACTAGGGAATGGTACMGAAACACGGTATTTTTTTCTAGCACCTGTGCCACGTGATTCGTTTTGACTGGATCGATAAGCTCCAGCCTTAATGGTCTCGATAACAGTACCGGAGTAGAGGCATGACAAGCGTGGTGACGTCACATTCAGCATGGTGTTTACAGGAGTAGCCAAACATGGATGCTACTTGTTAGCATGTCATTTATGAAGTTGTTCAGTCCGAGCAGATTAAATATTTATCTGACAAGCTTGTTTAGTTCAGTGTTTATATCTGAACCTGCCTCTGGCCGGCTGCTCCGGTGCATCACTTTATTTTTGGAATGAAGCAATGAGCTGGAAGTAAAGTAAATTGATCCAGTAACTTTAGCATCAATACGGTCCGCGAACACTCAACGTTACTGTAGTATTTTTCTGTGGATTCTCAGTCATCCAGGACATGGAAAATTTAAATAAAAAGAACAAAGCAACTGGACTTCAGTTCTGTAGCTACAAGATGTAAACAGCATGACTTGAGATTAGTGGATTGACCCGCTCACCCCCAATTCACTGATGTAATGCAACACAAGTGTTCGGACTGAGGTCGCTTTGAAAAACTCTGATTCAGTACCACATATTGAAAAGAACAGGGTCGGATTTGTAAAAATCTTATGTTTTTTGATTTTAATGCCAGAGAAATGCATCAATAAGAGAAGCTAACCGATAGATATGATAAYGGTTAAAACACCAGATCAATAAGCATTATCGATAGAGTAGTAGTATCATTAAAACCATAATGATWCCCATCCCTATGTCAGACTAACACATTTAGCAGCATTAGTAATTTAATGGTCTATGTTCAGCCCACATAAATTGTAACATCAATGTTCAGTGGAGAAAACAGCAACAAACAAACTATCAAGTAGATTATCATACAGCAGCGTAAGCTGAAGTGGCTTTTAGAGTCTTACATATGGAAAAAAGTTAGTTTAAAAAAGATTTTAGAGTGCACAACAAGATTCTCAGGCGCATCATCACGCAGATTAGCTCACCTGTGAACGTGACTTCTTACTTCTGCAGATTCACACATGCTGTGTTCAAGGCTGGTGAAAAGCTGGGACATCTGAACCTTACCATGTTTACTGGGTTATTAGAAGCAACTTGTTTCTTACRGAGTAGCTTATAACCCTTGTAATAAATCACACAAGCTTACATTGACAATACTGGGTTCCAAAAACTTTAATATCATACATAGACTACACAGTTGAAAGTAAAAGTTAGGTTATTTTTCCTCTGGGAAAATACTGGAAAATATATTAATTGGTAGTTTAAGGAGTAAACATGTTTTTATTTCTTTGTAGAAAAATAACCTAATAATTTTGAGTAGTTTACTACTTATTCTTAATTTTTCCGGTAGTTTTTCCACAAGAAGGAAATGTTAATTTTGTGGACTGTATAACTGAGATAAATATCTTTAAACGGGTAGATTATTAGTTTTGTGAAAAAAACACCAGGAAAATGTATTTCCGTTTATATTTTCAACTAATTTCAACCTACTCATTTTATATAGTGCCTAAAACAAACATTTTTCAAAACCACCAATGTGAATGCAAGTGTATGTGTTTTAATATACTATAGGGATTATGACCTATTGCACCAAGTCAGAAATGTATTTTACCAATAACCCAGTAAATGTGGTAAGGTTCAGATGTCCCAGCTTTTCATCAGCCTTGAACGTGTTAATCTGCAGCAGTAAGAAAGTCACAAGTCAAATTCACATGCGAGCTTATCCGCACGCTCAGGCAAATGTTATTGCATGTGCTCAAATCTTTTTGAGACCAATTTTTCTCCATACATTTGCAGCAGAGACATAGATGTCATGGCAACAGGTATGAAATGTCTGACCAATCAGTTCAATCAGCAACAAAACTTGGAACATCAACTAAGGTGTTCATAAAAAAGAAAGAAAAAAAAAAGACACTAATGGTTACCACTTCAAACGGTAATTCAATGGAGCTGTACTATCTTGGTGTAATTTTACTCACCTCTAACACTGGCCCCGCCCCCAGGATTATTTGCTCCACTCCACTGGCAAAACCCTTCTGACTGAGAGCAGTCAGGTGATGAATGAGAAAGTTTGTACTTTGTGTTTTCCCAGAACCGCTTTCTCCAGATATAACAATGCACTGATTCCTCTGTCTCTTCAGCATGGCGTGATAGGCCACATCCGCCACGGCGTAAATATGAGGCTCCAAATCTCCCAGTGAGTGATTGTCATACATCTTCACATACTTGGGGTTGTAGATTGGCAGGAACTTGAAGGGGTTAATGACGATGAGGATGCTCCCGACGTAAGTGTAAATCTTTTCCTGGCGGAAGCGCAAGCGCAGGTTGTCCAGCAGGGAGCGCTCGTTGAGTTCCGGGAGGCAGCACAGATCYGCGTAGTCCCCCTGAGAGTCCGGCTGCGGTAGGAGTCCACGTTCCACCATGCGCCTTCGCTCCTCCGTCACCTGCAGCCACATCTGGAGGCTCCCGCCATAGTGGATAGAGCCATCCAGATTTTTCTGCCTTAGTAGGAAGCGGTAATCCTCGCCACCAGACAGTGGGCGGAGCTCTAGAGCCACGCGGGGCCACAGCATCATCCTCTGCACCGGACAGTCGGAGGGGTTCAGAATCCATTCCTCCCCTCCAAATTCCTTCACCTCGGCGAGAACGTAGCACTTGGTGCAGTCCAGCTGCAGCCTCTCGATGACTCGTTCGATGGCCTCGGCGGCTGTGGTGGTCTTGCGGGCACTGATTGGGCAGTAGATGGTACCCTCCGAGAGGGCACCGGGGTAGATGCGCACGGTGAACTCAGAGTTCTGGAAGCGCTGCCGTCGGCCCAGGGTGCCGATGCCACCGACACCACCGACGCCATCACGAACACTCATGGCGGAGCAGAAGGTCCCATTAGCAGCAGCCCGGCGTTGACGCGTCCTTTCCTGGCCCACGTCAAGACATTATCACTGCAAAACAGAGGGACAACAGGAAAAGATCAACACTCTGCAGACTAACACACCACAATTACTTTCAAAACTGATTTGTGCAGCGTTTACTTAAAAAACACAGGCAGGAAATAAAATTTGCACCATCAACATATTTGCAGTGAATGAAGGTAACTTCTACAAACTGTTCTGCTGATCTGTGACCAGAGATTTATGCAGTCCATTGCAATCTACTGGATTAAGAAATCTGTCAGATTATGACACAAGGACCTCATGCCCTGTTACGTAATCTGTTAAGAGGTCAAACCATTTTACTGGATCCTGATATACACACTCTCACAGGATGAAGGATAAGTCCTCAGGATAGACAGGATTATTAACATACAAACCCACTCACAAGCTCTCACCAACCCCACAAAAACCTGCAGCAGCAGCTTGTTTTTTGTTTTTTACTCAACATAAAGTCACATCGTTCATGATTTCTCTCTTTAACACACAGCAAAGAGACAGAAAGCAGAGGCCACAAAGACAATACAAAGCAGTGGTGGTGGAATAAAAGACAAAACTGGTGAGGAATTCGTTCTACAACTCTACTCTTCTGTAATATTAGGCATTTCTATGATCCAATACTTTTAACTTTAAAAGTATCATTCAGGAACAAAAAGGAGACAAAACGGCATCAAATTTCTGGTGTAAAATCAACAAAACTGTTTCTTCTTTTTGTCTCTTCGATGTAAAATGGTAAATTAGTGCATCGTGGCCATCTTTGGCTGCATGCACAACTACCTTTCTGTACTGAGTGTAACATATGAATGCTCTTGTTTGGTGTTATGTAGAGGTGTGAATGTTTATGTGGTATAAATGCATAAATACATACATACAAGCAGTTGGGTAAATTTGGATTTATTTCCCTAACTTWTTGTTTTTATCTGCAAMTCAATGTGGCATCTTTTGTAGAACTGGTGTTGTGATGCATTCAGAGGTGCCTGGGAACTCTGAGTTTCTCTCACAAGAATGAAAAAAAAACTCATTAGTACTGTAGCTTGGGTCTCTTCATGATCATGATTTTTACACTCAAACAGTTTTGTGTGATCACTTGCATGGAATTTAACAGCTTACTTTGGATAAAACATGTCATGCACTTATGAGTGAATATAATTAACCATTGTTTGTTGCTGTTACAACTTCCCATCAGTATGATTATGAGTGGACTTTATCTTCATCATCCAAGAAGACAACATAAGGTTGTGTTTCTTTAGTCTGGTTGAGCTACACTACACCAGCAGAAAACAAGTAAAAACAGGAAAAGGAGTGGGGATAAATACGGTTGAAGAACTTAGATGAGTACAAAGAACTCCAGCAGGAAAGTGATACAATGCTGCACCCATCCCTGATCATTTCCTGTTGCTCTACATCCAACCTGTGTTACCATGCGTTACCTCAACTACTACGATATAAAAACAAGCCAAGCAAACACACACACACAACGCAAGATCTCAAACWAAATTTCGTTAGAAGGGCCTGAAATTGAATTCAAAGACAAYCCATCCGGGCTTTGTGTTTGAGCTGATGAACTGTGTTTGCATGAGTGAGTGTGTATGTGTGTGTTTTGAGCAGTAAGTTCCTGCCTGGTGTCCTGAACAGATGGTCAGCTCACTGCTTAAAGTGTGTATGTGTGTGTGTGTGTGTGTGTGGTGGGGGGGGATTTAGGGCTGTGACAGTGTTGGACAGCACAGGGCCACGCTGGCTGCCTCTTTGTTTACAATCGCATACAGACAGTCACAGAACATTTTATCTGCACAAACACCATGCTTCTGATAGATCTGCAATATGTTGCATAAAAAAGCTGAAAATRTGTCCCAGTTAAAAACTGAGCTCAAAGCACATTTTTACATTTTTGCCATCCTAAAAACTGAATTGTGTTTTGTTATGAAGAWTATTCTCTGGTGTAAGAGTGTGAGAAAATATCGGTACACTGAAATATTACAATGTTTCATTTCACAATACTGTATCCACTCTCTAAAGCACTCAATTGATTTTTAATGTAGGTTTAAAATGTGAACTTTCATGCCAGCGGTTCATTATATTGTAATTTAGCCTCCGACCACTAGTTGGYGGCAGTCAGTCAGTCATTTGTCTCCCCACAAATACATCAAACAATCTAACAGCACATCTGGCCCAACTATTGAAAAGATGAATGAAACAAATAGGACTTTTACACACATGAAGTCATGTTGTGGTGAAAAGTTGGGTTATCCACAGAGCTGCTCACCTGCTGCCTAGATGCAAACTGTTGAATTGGTTTCCTGAATGGAGGGGTGTCTCATTACTCCATGCCTCCTTTACACTTGCCTCTGTTCAGGAAATCCATTCCAGAGTTTGCATCCAGCTAGCAGAGCAGCCAGCCAGGAATCCCTTTTGGAGTCATTTCAGCAGACAACATTAAAGCACAGACACGGCTCATGGACAAGAAATCTCCCCACGTTGGTTGGAAAATTACAATCCGTCAGTTATGGTGGTATCAGGGCCTGTTACCAATACTGGAATTTCACCTCATCCAGCAAATTTCAAGCACTGCTGCCCAGTTTAGTTGAGGTTTTTATTTTTCCTTGCCCAGGGCAGTACTGTCTTCTAAAAAGAACATTTTTCTCATAAAATATTAGATGCTCAAAAAAAACTTTCAAAAATGTTTTTAAAAATCTCATCTTTGGACTAATAATGTTATTTAGCAGTCAATGGTTTTCCAGTGGTCAATGCCAATAGTTATGGAAAGCCATTTCATTCAAAATTAATTAAATAAATACTGTAATGTTAATAAAGTATTAATAAATATTCCATCAAATACATAAATGTCCCCAATGAATTTTCTTATGCCAATGCAAATCATGTTCTTATATAAATAAATTCAGTTCTAAAAATAAAACAGACATTTAGCTATATAGTACTGTACATATACGGTTATGAATAAAATCGATTATTTTGAAGTGGAGTTCTTTGCAGACAGCTGGTGAGAAGTGTAATAGGTCAGATATGGATTTTAATTTTAGTCATATCTCGGACAGCGACGGGCTGGCCGCTCGAAACTTGAACGCCGTACATGTGGAGAGATGTTTAACAATATGGTTTGATCAACAAAGCCCTGACCTGCCTGGAAAAAGATCACCACTTTTAATATGAGTCAAAATTATCAGTACAGTCCAAGCACATGAACTGACAGAGAAAAGCACTGATTTTGTCGAAAGGCAGAAAGAAACAAGTTAAAAACCGTTTCTGGTCACAGAAGAACAACCTTCCAACACACTAATGGAAGGAAATTTGTCTTAATTTGCTTTTACTGAGAGAAATGGAACCATTGYAGCTATTTGGCCAATAGCTACAAAAAGTACATCTGTGAAGGCTTTATAATCACAGTGTGACAGTCATTGAACTCATTAATGGACATATATGTATGTTTTATTTATAAAACTGATCGGTTTATGATGCAGAACTGCCAAGCAGGCCAGTGTCCCTCCTCTGGAGGTGAAACTGATCAATTCCTGAATACCAACCCACAGAGAAAACTCTGCCCCCTTATTTACATATAAGAACATGAAATAATAAAACAGCATGAAATAAAAATGAGTTAAAACTAAAAGCCCCTTAAA